TGCACAAGTCACTCCTAAGTAACATTCTCTGCAACTGCCAACTGGACCTGGGCTGGTGCTGTAGTACAGTGAACGAAGCTGCCCTTCCTTGTTCTTGATACATAGAGCTTGCTGTAGGGCTGAAAATCCTGCATTCTTAAATACTCTCAACTTACCTGTGGAAAGATTAGAGAAAAAATTAAACACCATCCATGTGGGACACAATAGCGGTCTTCATACTTTGCTTTCCATAGGTCCTTTCATCCAAATAATTCAGAGCACTTTTCTAGAATAAATATTATTTATCTGCTATTTAGAAAGATAAACTTAATCATAGAAGGCGGCAAAATCCTCTGAGTCATCCTTGTGGCTGCTTTCAAGTCATGCATCTCTACCATATGCTACTGTCCAGCTGTTAAACTAACCCTGCAAGTCAGTCTTAGTTACTTTTCAAGAGCTACAGTAGCACTCCATTGACAACTACTACTTTAGACACTCTGGCTTTGCCCAAACTTCTCCAGCCAGTGACTTCTGTTGAGCAGCAGCTTTTCTTATGAGTTATGTTACATCAGTGGTTTAAATTCAAACCTGTGATAGCAAAGCGTACTTTGCTGTTCCATAGGAGTGCTGTGAACTGTTGCTCAATTCCTTAGCCGGGTCTACTATATATACTGCTGGTGGCACACAGACATGAATCAAGAGCATAATCTTTGGCTGCCAAAAATCCAAGTGTAGTTGCACTTATGCGAACAAACCCATAAATGTCAGTACCTTTGTTTTCCCCAACAGAGGCAAAATAAGTTATGCTTCTGAAAGCACAATTGTGCTGGTATGGCTGTTTTTTATGTAACTGCCATTCTGGGATTGCTTTGCCAGTCTAAACACATGCATATTATACCAAGAGAGTACTCAGACTTGACTGGCACAATATATTGCTAAAGAAAACAGAAAAATTTGCAACTGCTATATTGCAAGGATACCAATACAAGACACATCTATCACAGGATACATCTGTAAGTAAAGCAGACCAACGTAAGGAGATTTATACAGCAAAACAACTGGTGCTGAGTACTTAATCTCCGTGCTATGTGCATTTCAGACAGTTTTGCTTCAGGCTAAACCTATTACCTCTTGGAGTACACAGTTCATTCCTGAAGCACATCTACCATCCCTTCCATCTGAAAGCAGTCTAGTTGCTGTGATCTGAAGTTGCCCTGAAACGTGAGCCAAAGCACAGTAAAGAGGGACTATCAGAAAAATCATGTAAGGGCACTACTAATCAAAGTAAAGTACAAACGTAGACCCATCTGTAATTGAAAGGACAGTTAATTCCTCTCTAAATGCCAGCCATTCAAGTGAGATATCACAAACACTAGATGGATAAAAGCATTTGACTAAGACCTTGGCTCCCTGGTTATTTCCAGTAGCTATTCAAGCAGAGCTAGTACAGGGAGAGAAAAAAACCCGTAGCTTTCTCATCCACCTTTTTCTTGGAAGAGCACATTCTTTCAACAAGAGGCAAAAGCCTCAATTATTGAATACTAATTATAATGTTGTACCACAAGAAGAGACACTATTGGCTCCACATATTCTCCAGTTTATTATTTAATCTATCTTAATTAATGTCTGAAAAGTGATGTGGTTTCCTCCACGGAACAGAAGCAATCAATGTGTTTACAGTCTGGTAATTCAGTGACCAGGGCTGGCTCCGTGCCTGTAAGAGCTGGCAAGTCAGATGAGATATCCCTTGAAAACACTTCCTCTGTCACCAGAGGCAAGCTTGTAAAGCACCTTATTGCATTACCAGGCACTGTCATTCTCAGAGGCCACAAAAAGAACAAGCTTATAAAATAAAGTTTCATAAAACCAGCCCAGTTCCAGAACATTCTACTGAGAATATTTAAGGATGTAACGATTATCAAGAACGTGCTGAAGTCCCATTATTTCAGAGCAAGTTAAATGAGGACTAAATATGCTTCCAAGTGCTCCTGTAAAGGCCACCTTATACATTTGTTTAAATTCTTAAATTACTATTACATAATCATAATTGCTGGACCAAGCATACAGTAGCATAAATTGTATATCAATTTCATAGATAAAAATGTATTCTGCAGAAATTATTTTAATATAAATTAAATTACTTTGAAGTAAAGTTTAAAACCCATACTTAGGTAATGGTATTTATCATCTGTGTGCAGGGTTTGTTCTGGTTTGAGGTTTTGGGTTTGGTGGGTTTTGGTTTGGTTGGTTCTGGCTGGGGTTTTTTGTTTGTTTATTTAAAATCAAAATACATCACTGAATGCCATTTTCAGCTCAAATTCTTCAGGAGAGACATCAGGACTTCACACGCATTTTTATAATGTTTTAAGAAAAATCAAGATTTTGCCTGTCAAGACAAATATTTAATAATGCAAATACTACAGCTGTAATAAGTAATGTAATTATTCAGGCTGATATTTAGTAGACAAAGAAAGATGACAAATCACAGAATGAGATGGAAGTGAAATGCATGCTGAAAAAGATGCCATTTTAGTGACGATATTCAGAATATGGAGATTTTTTCGGTTTACTCACCTGTTAAGCCCAATGCCTCCACTGAAGTCACTACCAAGTATTCTTCAACTTTGCAGTCCTACTTGTTGTTTATTTTAGCTTTCTGTTATAATTATTTTTTTAAAACATACACTCTCTAGCAGTACAACATTATAGAACTCTAGGTAGATTAGCCTCTTCGGCATAGCTGAAAAGTTACATTAGGACAGATACTCCATTCTGTTTATGATTCTGAATTCTCCAGCAATTCTTTGTAAATATATTTTTATATATAATCTTCAGCACGTTTTAATATAATAGATTTTCTTCATTGTATTCATTCTCTGCTAAATTAAGTATGTCCTTCTCCACTTCATTTCTCCAACTTATGTTTTTTGTTTGCATTTGTTTTTCTTTTATCTTTCTAGTACAAAGACACAAAAATTTAATGTGAATCAGCAGAGAAATTGCTTTTTCTCACTGATTTTGTGTATGATAAATAGATTGTAATTCTTGCCTATCCTACTTAAATAGAAATTTACATTAATTATTATTTTTATCCTTCATTTATGATCCTAAGTTCAGTTTTATGTCTTCTGTTTTGAAAGATACGGTAAATTTGAGTACTTTGATAATGCTTTTTCATTCAGCTTCTAAGTTCTTGATACAGGATGTTCCAGAGATAGTTACTTTATATAGTCAACATTTTCTTCATTCGATTCACCTGATCTTCTATTTCACAGCATGAGTCACACTGATGGGTTATGTAATTCTCAGTTTACTCTATTGTCTTTCCAGTTGATTACAATACAGATTCTATTTTCACCAAGTCAAAACCATTTCCTAAATCCTCTGAAGCTATCAAAAAGACTTCTCTGCAGAAAATGAATCAGATGAAGAACATTAACAACGTTCTGTTACAAGAACCTGAATGATATAAAACTAATTCCTAGTAGCTAATGTTCCACATTAATAGGGATGCGTGTTAAGCCATAAAAGTACGTTAAGTTCAAGCTAAATGTGATATGTAAGATGGTTTAATTATTGCCTTATTACGGCGTAGTATTTCATCAATTCATTTTGAAATTACTTATTTCCTTATGATATTATGAAAACAGTGTTCCAAGTCTTATTGCTATTTTGTCTTACTACTTAGTTTGGCATATTTAATTTGTAACAATAAATACCAGTTAAGCTTTGAACCAACTGAGGACCTCCAAAGGCCTAACTCATTCTCTGGTCTGTTAAGAGTGTATTTATTAAAGCTACCGGTAACAGGGAGATGAGACAATTACGTCTGCACCGCCATGTCCAGGTATGACAGAACAGTAAGGTAGTTCCGGTGTAACAAGAGTCGTGGGTCTGCCCAGGATCCAGACTTCCTCCACAGTGAACCTGGATTCTTGCCATCCAGTAGTATTTAGGGAGGCTCTGGCTTTGCACTAAGGGGGCACTGGTTTTGCTCTTTCCTTCCCATGATCCGTACTGTATCTCTGCTGCTATTATTTCAATTTTCTGGAGGGAACCTGAGCCCTTCAAAGTATTTTTAACATATATTTATCATTACCCTAATTTTCAAGGTCCCTGATAATAACTTCTCTTGCCACAAACATTTGATGCAACCACCTAATTTCAAGACCGGTAATCCAGACCAAATGTATCAAGAATTGGCAGTGACAACTTTAGGGGCTCATGAATTAACAGAGTTTTTCCTTTTGCACTTTGGAAATTCCCCTAGATTTCATCTGGGTTGCCACCTTAACAAAGACAATACCAGTTGCTTGTCTTCTCAGACTGTCAGTTTGAAAAGGTCACTGCTTGTGAAGCTAAAACTAGCACTGAGATGGCTCCACTGTTTTATAGGCAAGAATATGCCAGTCCCTCTTCAAGAGCTTGCTTGGCACATTCTGGTATTAAGTTTGAAGGATTCACTACAGTGTGCAAGGGAGAAGGCAGATTCCAAGTACTCTGAGGTCATGGCAGGAAGAGGGATCCTCCAGGCATTATTTCAGACATTCAGTGTTTGAGAACCTTTGTGTTTTCTACCTGATCTTGCTGTACTTGTAGTGGAATCCAGCCAGGACTAATAACAAGACGACATTTGCTTTTGGGAGGGGAGGTGGTGGGCCTATATTGGTTGTCAGATGTTGGAGAGTACTTCAGAGCACTGATTACTGTGACACTTGGTCTGGGAACATTCCAGTCAATATTTTCTGCTTACTAACCTGAAAAACAAAGCAAAATGCCCCAAACTTGGATAACTAGCCTTAAAGAACTATTTTCCAATTTCTTACTGGGATAAGACAAGTACAACCATGCAACAGCATAGAATTTAAAAAAGCCAACACACACAATACAACACCCCCCGAAAAATACAGCACTCAAAATGTCAGAAATGGACTTAAAGCTCTTAATACCTCATGAAAGATTTTACTTCATCTTATCACACAAAATTACAGATAAATTAACATATGTGCAAAAATGCACAATTAATGTTAAATTGACTTTATTCATATTTAGTTTTGAACACACATGTAAACAACAATTATGAGACAATTTTAAGCAAAAAAATTATAATGAGTTGCTACAGATATTTTAAAATATCTTCTGCCTCCATTTTGATAGAAGACAGGAAACAAATCTCTTGCAAATTTAGAACTTTGAAAAGATGTCATACATAAGCAAACTTAGTAAAAAGCCATGCAATGTTTTCCTATATACACTTTTTCCCTTTATGTCCTTTAAAACTGATATTTAAAATCCCCTTTTATTCTTAAAAATATTTATAAAAATAAAATACTTTCTTTGTTAACTTTAGCTACATTTTACTTATTCCAGTGGATTCACTGCAAGTGTAATTTGCACACAGTAAGTTACGCACTTCATTAATACCTCATCAGTTCTATGGACAAGCACCATTTGCTGATACCCGCAATACAGTCCTAACCCTGTTTCCACTGGAGTCAAATGACAAAACTCTCATAAACTTCAAAAGAAGTTTAAAAAGCTCACTTTTTTAACTATTCTGACATAATAAAAAATAACATCAGAGGTTTTGATTCTTGACTGTTTATTTGAATTGTCAGAAAAAGCAAATCCTAGATTTAGAATTCTGATTCAAGCAAAGTAAAACACATTATTGTCTGTTTTTACATCTAAGGTCTGACTTGCCTATATGTAAAAAATAACAATAAATTCTAATTATTACAGGACTACTATAAAAAACTTAAGGTTTATAAATGCTTTTAGCATGAAAGAGCATGTAAGCATTTTGCTTGCTTTTTATGCAATGACTTCAAAGACAGTATCTTGTTCAAATATACACTGGAGACGTTTTTCTTAAGATATAGAAAAAGTTTGCTATGCAAACTCTCAGTAAGAGCAAGCCATTGAAGCAGAGTTTTGTTTTAAAATCTACATTTGTCAAGTTCATATCTAAGACAGCTATGGCTATTTCTTTGCATCTAAAAATAACAATAACAGTTTTATTCATACAAATATATAGTTCATACAGTCATCAAAAAATAAAAAAGGGCTAACCATCTCCTACAGCTCAGGACAGTCTGGAAGGCTCAGAGTTTGAAACCATGTACAACCCAACAAGACTATATTGATTGTCTTGCCATCAAAGTGGTCAACAAGTCATTTATATAGCACTGAATCAACAATCTGTGACTAGTCATGCAAGCAGTCCTGCTATCTACAAGCTATTAAAATATGCAAATACAAAGGAAATAATTGATTAAAGATTCTTTAGCATCTCCTGACAGTTAGAAATCTGGGAATGGCCTTGCACAGTACTTCACCTCAATGGCAAGTCTAATTTACTGCTGTCTCCATTACAGATACACGCACAAGTGAGAACACTTGAACACACAAGCTTGAGCACAGAAGAACAGTTGCACATCTTTGTGGAGAGTATTGGAAATCTTGCTACTTCATAATAATTAATAAACAGAGGCTGGTGGAAAGAACACATTCAGCATATATATATTAAAAAATACCAGTGATCCATTAAAAATGTAATATTCAGCATTCAAAATAAGACAAAAGAGAACACCAATAGCAGGAAAATAACTTGGGGTTTTAAAATATCCTGATATTAGCTAGAATTTTTTATCACTTATTCTGGCACTGAGTAACTGAAAAAAAGCATGCATTTAAATAGCTTTTTATTTCACAGATGTTAGAATGTACGAAATGCATCTTAATACCCAACTTTTTCAGCAATGTAAGACTGCAGTAATGTCACCTTACAATAAATAGCTATTTTTACTAAAAATCTATGAGCAGTCACTCCAGGCTTTAACATATTATACTAATAAAGAAATGAAGCCAAAACTGCACATGTACAAAACAGCTGATTTATGTAAATTTCATATTCAGCTTCTGTTTGTTTACCTGTTCCTTACCTGCCTGCTGGGGAAGAAAATAAGAAAACCCAATATTGCCAATTAGACTATCAGGAAACAAGCTGTCACAATACAAATAATTTTATTCCAGTCAAAGATAAGCAAATCTGCCCCCATGAATTTTTTTTGCAGTAAAACTGAAGAGAGACTGAAATAGATTTCCTATCTAATATCAAATCAAGTTTTAGAAATAAGATGTATTGCTGTACTATCTATAGGAAACTCTGCTGTCCTGCCTTCCCCAGGCAGAACATTGCACCATGGCACTGCTGAAAACTTGAAATGTTACTAAAGCACTTCATGCTACAAAAATGACATACATTCATTTAACACACACTGGCCTCAGCTATAAAATCTTAAAAGCCTATGTTGAAGGGAAAGCAAAGTTTGGTAAAAACCTTCAGATAGAACAATAAAAGCAGCAAATGCTTCCCCTCCTCTGAACTGAAAACATGTTTAAGGGTCTACTTAAAACACTTTAAAAAAACCACAACAAACACCCACAAAAAAGCAATGACTGTCTTGGGCAAAAATGGCCTTGCCCTGGAAGTAGGGTGATATTTAAAAATTTATTTCTGATTATAAGTTGCTACTTAATCTAAAAAGTTTCTTCTTTTGTTTTTATCCAAAGCATCTGTGAGCCTGATAGGGTGCTAGCAGTTTATTTAAACTTTTGCCTTCCATGCTATTTTTAGCTTGTGGAGGCTCACACAAAACATTTCCTAGAGCTTAATGGCTTGTTCTCTCATTGCTATTATTACAAACCATTCAAACGGAAAGTTGTTAAGTGTGCAGTTTGAATTCATAGGTGCTTGTTTTCCACTGGTTGACATCTGCATCGATCATGTTGCGCTCTGTGAAAGTAACTCGTCCTTCTGAATCAATGAGAATGACCGTGTTAGTCCTGAAACAACGTAAGCATAGAAGGTTAAACCTTGTGTCCATCATATAAATTTGCAGGGTCCCATCCCTCACCCCCAAAGGTTTTAGCTCATTTTTTTCTTGACCACGTATCATCACCAGACTACCAGGGCAGGAATCATCCTGGCAAGTTCATATGAGCATTTTCAGTCCCTTCTTCTGTCACTCCACTGCCCTGATTCCCTGCTGCACCTGCAGCAGCTGACACACAAAGCTGCTCATTTACAGGGAATATGATAAAAGGTTAAACTTTTTTTAATGCCACATTCCATTCAGAACTAGCATAAACCCAAGTTTTTCTTCACAGCCTACATGCACCCTGATTGATTATTCATCTCAATAGTACTCTTTCATTCTTTCCTCTCAAATCAATTGTCCATTAAGATTTAAACATCATTATCATAGAACACTGATACACAATCACAGAAAAACTTTTATCTGTCTAGGAGCCTTCCAAAGAGGAAATCTGTTTTCAGGAAAAGCAGATTCCATTCATGCATCTATGCCACATTGTGATGTGTAAGCTGTCATTTCTATATGGACACTGCAGTACTCTGCCAGGGAGAGATGACTGACAGAAGCAGGAATTTTATGCCATCCTGATGTGGTGGCCTTCCCCAAGTCATTTCACCGTTGTTCACTCATATAGAAAAAAGTGCTTAATTTCCTCAGAAGCATATCATGAGGCCTAGTTAACAATCTCTGTTCACTAAGCCACTTTCCCAAAGGAAGGTAAGTGTGAGCATACATTATAGTAGCAGAGAAGACTTGAAATACAGTGTTAATTCACCAGTAAGAGGTCAGTATTTCTATGGAGTTATTGCTGCTTCCTTTGAAATAGCTAGACTGCAATCTGTGAAACAAGGGGAGGAAGATGCTTCTTTACCATTTTAAGTCATTATCCCATATTTAAAATTTCTTTGAATACATTTTATAAAGATACTCAGTTTTTGCAGTGGTTTCTTTCTTAGAATACCAATTTAAAATACTTACAGAAGTGAGTGATCTCTACTTATCAGTTTACATCTCTACAGTGGAAATACTGACTATGCCAGAGACACTGATCTGACAAAATCACTGGCAGACTTTTAGAGTAAGAATTCCCTATCAGCAGCGACAGGCTTTGCCTATAATTTTGTCCCACTGAGAATTAAATGCAAGATGTATAGTATTATTCTATTCTTCTTGCAGCTTTGGTAGAACAGTCTGAGCAGAAAGTGATATCATCTCAGTAAGAACAGCAGTATCAGTTAGGGGACAAGTGTAGTAGGTTTTTAATGTATGAAAGTGGCAGCTACGTATTACAATGACATGTCTAAAGAAATTTCTAACAACTATGCAGAAAACACTCTTGCTCTTGGAAAAGAAATGTCTTCTGCAGTTCCACAGATACAGAAGATAATTGCATTTTTCTACTAAAAATGTGATTTCAAGGCTTTTCATGTTATGATAAAAATCAAAATTAGAGGCAGTCGGATCTGTTACTACACTGGGGAACCAAGAGAACTGTATTCTCTTGGACAAACTAAAGCTATCTTATACTCCCCACCAAAGACAAACCATAATGCATGCTTAAATTAATGCTTATCAGTAGCAAATCTAAGACACCAGAACACTAAGCAAGGAAATACTTGACTGAATTATACTTAATAGCTGAACAAATTTAAAGCTGTCACTATAGAATTAGAATTTATAGCAGCATAATTTTGATTTGAGATATGCTTTGATCCAGCACACATCTATTTCTGACCATAAATATTTTACCTTGTTCCATAACCTGGGCAACGAACACACACAGCTGCATACTTGTTCAATATAGGACGTATATAATCCCTCCCTTGGTCTTCAATCGCAGGGTCTGGTAATTGACTGAAAAAAGTAGTAGAGTAATAAAAAAAATTTGAATTCTCCACTATTAAGACATTCATCCCACTTGAACCATGCTGTGTTGACCGAGTGGTTGAAAAATGACAAACACTTTTCAAAAAGTACAAAAAAAGTGTGAATTGTGTTCAAAACTAAAGTATGAGGAAAACAAAACAATTTGTAAGCTCTTTCCCAAAGGGATTCTTTCAAGCTCTTGAACTTTTGTCTCACTTGAAGAAATATTTTTAATATTCTGACAAGTTTTTCCAGTTTCCTTGTTATTCTTTTTCTGTCTTTCTGTATTTTAGTTTCAGTTAAAACCTCAATGATCAAATAATTTGAGGCACATCATATAAACGGGCATTCTTCCAATTAGACTCCAGGAGTTCTTTCTGTGTCAAAGAAAGAGCTCTCTGCTCCCTTCAATATTTACTTGGAATACCTGGAAAATACCTAGGAGAAATCCTTAAAAAACCTTTGTGAAGATGCAGCAGAGGACATGGTGAGCTTGCACCCGAATTTCTTGACATAGATTCCTATCAAAGCTTGAAAGACATTTAGAAACATGATTTTATTATAAAGCACATCAAGCTTCATTTATTATAATTAACAAATATCAGCATTCCACAGAAGAGATGCTAAGGTCAAAGGTTACTGCAGCAACCCTACATCCCTGGCTTTCCATTCTCATCACCAAAACATAATCTCAAACGCTAGCCGTAAGTACAGCTTCCTATTTCAATAATTAAAGATTAAAATATTATTTATCAAAATCCAATTTAACTATTATTGCAGCAGGTTTTTGTGTTTGATTTTTAAGATACTTCCATCTTCAAGAAATAATCCCAATTCTGCCTCCTAGCACAGACCCAGCTGTACCTATAAAATAAAAATAATTCAGCAGCCTATCAGCTGTACAGTGAATATTGGGGAGGAGGGCAGAGCAAAACAGACTGATCAATTCAACCCCATTTTCAGAACTCATCCTGAACTGTGGAGAAGACTGTGCAATTTGTTATACTGTAACTGACCTTTACATCTAGCTGGGATCATTTTCTTTGTTGTGGTGAAGAAAACCAGTGGGTGTTTCAGGGAGAAGCAAGAATAGGTGCAGTTCTAGTGTGAATAGAGCAACTAAGCTCTGACTCCTGTATGGGGCATTTGGCGGGAGCATGCCACGATGTAACAGCGAAGGCACACAGCAGGGCACTTCAGCCTGTGAGAACTGTCAGCTTCTACCTGGTACTCCACCACTGGCAGTTCCTGTATGCTCTGCACAATAGGCTGCACTTGAGCAACTTAACAAACCCAAGCAGTTGTAAGGAGACTGGAAGGAGTTGCAGTACATCCCTGAGATCACAGTCAAAAGCAGGGCTGAAGCAGAAGAGAGTGGTTAAAGCAAAAAAACCTGTATCCGGCAGGACAGAAACGAATTCTAAGACTAAGCCAATCATCGTACCTACTTAATTCCTGTAACACACACACACACAGAGTGATCATAAAGTAATATGCAGTAAAATATTTTAAGAAAGTTCAAAGCTAGTGCATATCCATATGTTCATGTTTATTATGAAAAGATCATTTCATCTTGAAGCGTGCTTTGGTAAGATTACAGACTTAGTTTTGAATATTGCTTTTTATAAGTAAATATTTCCATTTTATAGTCAGATTATTTCAGATGAGATCATATTGAAGTACTGAACATTAAGGAAAGATAATTTGGGCTGTATTGTATCTTATAGCTTTGTCTTTTTACTAGTAAAAAGTATAACAATTTTTTGAAAAATCACTTGATCTGATATCAGATAGAAAAGTAATTAAGACAGCTTAGGAGACTTCCCAATTACTACTCATTGCTCAGATGTCCGAGTTCTTATGTAAACATTTATTTTGAACCACTGAAAAATGTCACAAAGATGAATGTTGGCATTAAAATTGACTGATAAAACTAGAAAACTGGATCTATATACCAAAACCAGCTTTGCTTTAACACAAGGCCCCCCATAAACAGGTAAAAGTTAGGCTAAACATGGAAGTTACTAGGCAGGCAGTGAGCAATAATATGAATTTAAATCACAGCACCTCCTTTACCCTACTCCATGTCTGGACATTGAAGTGGTATTAATCTCCTTCATTTCTAAACATCTAGCTTGTGGGTCTAGGTTCACTGTGTAGCCAGCAGTGGGTCAGGAGACAGACACTCAAACTCTTCTTGGGAACTTCCTTGACCAGAGGCTTAGAGCTGATACTTACAGCAAATACTCCCTTACCTCCTTCCCCCGTTTAGCCTAAAACAATAGCACTTCCGAGGGAGGCAGCTCAATTGCTGGCTCTGCTTTGAAAACAGCTTACTTCTCCACCCTCTGTCTACACTCTGGGTAGCAATACAGAAAAGCTAGCAGTTAATAACACAAACCTGCTCATGTAAGCAAGTGCTTACTCTGTCTTGAGGAAGAAACAGAACCTTACCCTACAGTGGGTCTCCACAAAGCTTACAGCAATAACTTACATGTCCCCTGCCTGGCACTCATTACCCTTACTAAAAGAAATGCAATCATTAAAACAAAAGGGCACAGAGAATTCAGCATATAGTCTATGAGTACTAAGACTGTAGTAATGTTTACTGTTTGCTGCTTAAAAATCAATATTGTTGAAAGTCAGTCTCTGTGGAGAGGAAGAACTACTTTTGCCCTTCATTACTCAGATTTAGTCAACTAATATATGGCTAAATTTTCTTTTCTGTCAAAAGAGTTTATATATGAAATTTTTTAAGCGGTCATATCGCATTTTGAGTAAACTCTGGCTATCACGTTCTTACGGCTCTTGATTATTCATCACTGTAAGAAGCTCCTGCACCAAGTCTTCTTTGGTAAGATCTTGACTTCTCTTGACCACTTCTGTGAAAAGTTGCTTCCCATATTGAAGTTTCTTCCATGGTGTATCCAACAAAGAATTACTCAATCCATATATTCCTATACATACAAAAACCCCACCCAAACAACTTATTAAACTCTGGAGCAAAGAAAATTAACTTATGCAAAAAATAACTTCATAATAACTTCATAATTATCTTATCCCACACAGTCTGAGGAACAAAACCAAACGCTATCATCAATCATGAATCTTTTATAATAATTTGCTTATTCATCCTATTGCCAGCTTTCACTTTGCTTCAAAAAAAAGTTGTAATTAAAGTATGCATCAAAGATGTATATTGTGATAAAATAAATACAACAGCTCTTCAGATAGTAAGAGTCTCCTAGGTGTATAACTCATAATAAAATAACATAACCATTTCTCGACAACTTTTCTGGATCACTACTTCTTACTTTTTTATTAGGGGGAAAAAAGCCCAAAACCCAACACACAAACCACACCACACACCCCCAACACCCACTTCAGAGCATCATTGCTCTTTTAGTTTACTAAAATTAGCTGAATTTGAGATTTTCACCACTGTTATTAACACAATGTACGTTGTGGTGTGAAATCACAAAGCTTTTTTTTTTCCCTCCAGAACACAACACTAATAGAAACATTAGAGTATTAGCTAACCTCAACATAAAATACCTTGTAATCATGATACTGTTGAGTTTATTTCTGTAAAGCTTCAAGCTTTATATGTCATGAAATTAATAAAATCTGCAATAAGGAGGTTGTTATAAGTTCAAGATTTAAAAGTAGTAACAACTGTTTACAGACCAGCCCCTGTGGACACTCCTAGCTGCACAGTATATACATACTTATTAAGTAATGTTGGGGGGTGGAATTCAATTTAATTGGAAAGGGTACTGTCATGATTTGCAATTCTCATTAGAGATTTCACAATTTTATTTATTTTAATACAATTTAAGTGATTCCCCAGCTAATTTTTATCTTCAGGTATGCTACAAAACACATACCCCATTCCTAAACAGGAGACCACAGCAGTCATTTTACACTCAGCTGTGCTTAAGCACTTCCCTGTGCTGATATCCAGTTCTCTGTTACTTTTAACCTCTGGTTTGGTAGACTATGAAAAAGGTACAACAGAACGATATGATTTCTGCAGTGCAGTCTTTTCCAGTTTAGCTATATTACTCATAATTTACTTTTGTCTCCAATTTTACCCTTGAAAAACACTGCAAAGCAACATTTCGTGACAAGAAGGAGCTTTTCTCACCACAATCCAAACAAATAAACACAAAGGTTACCAAACCTCCTCTATCCCTGAAGGCAGACACATACACAGCAAAAGAATTTGTTGTTGAAGCATGGAGACCAGAACTACCTTTGCTATAGCCTGAAAATACCTAAACCTTGTGATTCAGCGGCTAAATTTTGGTTTAAAATGTTTGTATTAAAACCTGTTTCGTGCTTGTAGCTGTAGAAAATCTAACAGCTGTTTCCAAGAATTTTTGCTATAATTGCTACAGTAACTATTTGCCTACTGGCAGCAACATTTTGACCATTAACCTAAGCAAGCAAAATAAGCCACTGTCATTAACTGTTATCAACCAGATACACTGCTCAGAGCCTTCTACGTGTCCTTGTCCATTTAAATTGGCTTTTTGGTGATGAATTCTGGATTATTGTTCTATGTAGTTGGCTAGCAAAGGACAAGATTTTGAACATCTTAAACCAATCCACCTGATAAGACAGATAAATATTATTCCTTTTAAGCAGCTCTGTCCCTAGGGGAGCACAGTCACACTGCTGGGTAAGGAAAGTTAGGGTCAAGTCCACAAACCTTTGAAAACTCTATTTCTCAAGACTTCTGTCGTTCAGTCACAGTTACCTAAGAAGCATCCCAGTAACTGCAGTGGCAGCAGGATAGAAGCTTTTAATGAACTATTCGATTCTTTACTGAAATTTTTTAGTAAATACTTAAATGAATTTAAGGACTTTCTTTGCATTCTTGAAAAAAAAATGTTACTGAAGACAATGCTTAAATTACTGGAGCAATACAGCTATATTTTTACTCCCTTAAAACAACAAAAAGTAATATTCAGACCTTTCTGAAGAAAACCTACCAGGATTTAGGAAAACTGGTTCTGGTTCCCCTTTGTTTCCATAGTAGCAAATTACATCTCCTTTGGTGGTACTGAAAAATATAAATAAGAATTTCTCCTTGAAAAACCATCAGCTTCTATATTTGATCATGCTCTAATTTCATGTAAGCTTCAAACACAGCAAGCTGTTTCTCCCACTGTTACTACGATGATATCACAGCCTCGAGATTAATTGATGAGTTATATTACTCTCCTCTCAAAATACAATACTAGATATACCACTGTCAAATAGTACCATTATAATTTTTAAACATAACTGTAATAAAATTCAGTAAAATCCCAGAACTGCTGCATGGAATGTAGCCAGGCTTAATGACAAAAATTTGTATGGTTTTGAATAACTGAAGATTTAATTACTTCGGGGAAGATGGCATGTTAAAACAAAAGGACAATCCGTTACAGCAAGTAAAGTTTTCCTGTCATCTCTTTTGAATTGCTACTGCATTTTAAGAAGCTGACTGCTTTGGACCATTTTATCTGGCAGAAGTCAATTTTTAAGCCCACTTATAATAATGTCATAGGGCATAGTTTGGTCCTTTAAGTGACAAATATGCATTTTCAGGCTGTTTTCAGGTAATGGTAGTTAATGTTTGTAAACTCTCTAATTGTAAGTACTGGCTTCAGCACTCACTCTCTTGTACAGTTTAGCAGGGTCAATCTGACATCATGTTAAAATACAGCTTCCAACACTGCAAATAACTCTCACCTGGCACAGATGATATCAGCATATCCTAACAGCACAGATTTTTATGTACGCATACTGATACTGACAAACCAAATAGCAAATGATAAGAATTAAAAAAAAATATTTAAAAAAAAAAATCAAGGAAGTCATCAATAAGCCTTGTGGGAAATGGAAGGCAGGGAATGGATTGCCATTAGATGGTTCACTCTCAACATCCCTCAGTCCCATCAGCTGACATGAAACAGTGATTCCTCAGATTGCTACCAGTTGGTGGGTTTTGACAGGTTTTTTCGTTTATGTTTTAAAATTTGCCAGGACACAGCCCTGAGACCATATAATTCTGTATTTCACTCTATTGATTTACTTGTTCACAGTGGAAGAGAGTATTATCGCTGTTACCAATAAATACATTCTGAGCGTAGTTCAATTTTTAATTTGTTTCCCAAGCTATAGCTCCATAGACTACGAATAGACTTCCTGAATTAAAAAAAACAAACCCAAACACACACAAAACTTGCAGTTAGATTGAATTTGGATTGAGTAGCATAAAACATAATAGAGTAGAGAAGTCATGTCGCTTAAGAGAAAATGAGGAGCTGGAAATATCTGTGTCTTGATGCAAATAAGAGTATATAGAATGCAATCTCATTAATGATGTACTGGAAGTTAGATTGCTCTGCATAAGTTAGCATCCTCTACTCAAATCTTAATATCAAGCAAGCCAGTCTTGATTTAGCTGTTTATATTCTTCTTAAAAAGCCATTCTGAAAGCCATTCTAGAGCGCCCTTTGCAAGGCAGCTGTATGAAAAGGGAAATATTAACTTATTAATTATACAAGTCATAAAAGGTGAGAGGTAGAATATAAAAAACCACCTAAAGCAAAAATAAAATTGCCTTTCCTCATCTCTGTACTACTCTTCCTCCTCCCCAAACCCATGAGACTTTCGAACTCCATGAGAAAGATGTCCAAGTTTTTTTGCATAGTTAAAAGAGTAATTATAACAGGTGGTATATTTTGTGTTGTTGCTTTCATTGTTAAATATATAATAAACTCTCAGTTATTCTGTTTATGATTCATCTACTGTTAAAAGAAATGGGCATTTTCTGAACTTTTCTCTAGTGGCTTAAAAGACATTTATTTTCCTTATATTTGTCTTTCTTTTCAATATTAAGATCCTTGTTCAAATTTACCTTATGCTTATCTCAAGACTCTCTACTGACCACTCCAAACTCTCCACAGAGATCTGCCCTCATCAGAATCGTGACAACCAGCATGCTTCAGTTTTCAGCAGGGCACTGAATTCCTGTTCCGGCCCTACTTCCTATACCCTGACGATTTTTACTAGTCTATGCTAGAGTTCTCATGTGACCTGTGATTCAGTAAAAATTTTTGTTCCACTACCACAGATTAAATTGTTTATGTATGTGACCCATTTATGGAATCAGTTAAAAGTTGTATTTTTTAATAAGAGACAAAAGGGGTTTTTTATTATTTTTAAACACATCAAGGTAGAGAAATGCAGCATTTTCAATGAATATGAGAAAGTGCTACTGACAAGTACAGGTGAAAGAAAAAAATTTTATTAGCACAACATGAACTTCCCTTCTATTTCTTGAGACTCCTTCAGGTACAAACAAGTTCTGAATTAAAAGTTACACAGAAAAAAGGTATAGTTTGTTCATGAACAGGTAAACACAGCAATCAAAACAACAGATGTTTTCATTGGACATTTTCTTTGTTGAATAGAAATAAGTTATTGGAAGAGTGGGAAAAATATTTAATGAAATATTCAGTTATTATGCTGGTTCAGCAAACTTGTCTGCCAGTACACTTGTCTGCAGAAATATCTGAGAAAAATGAACAAAAGGTATACTTCCTGAAACTATTTTTATAGTCATGCCATATACAATGAGAAGTCTTTGACTCTTCTGTTCTACCACTACTACTATTTCCTTCAGTTAAATTTTCAAGATATTCTGCTTTTAAGCTAGATGGATGCTATTACAATTTTTTTAAAATTTCAAATATAAGAGTCCCATACATTCTTCCCTTAAGTGGATTTTGCCAGGTCTTCACAGAGACAGGAGAAACTCTGGATAGCCAGAGAAGTTGAGCCATACTTTATTTGGCTGCAAATACTAAGCTACGTATCTAAGATGCCTGGGACCTTACAGGAGTGAAAAAAAGAATGGAGTTCAAAGGGTCAACAGAGCTTCTATGAGGAAAGTTGGGTGTATGAGTTCAGTTATTCAAAACCAAAAAACTTGACAACAGGATGATGTTAATCATCTTGCTCAAAGCATGTTATGGCCCTGGCAAAGCTTTACATAAACAAAGCCTAGAGCCAGGCTGAACACTAAATGGAATTTATATTTAATGTTCTCAAGTTCTTGTTTATTAATGTTTTGTTAGGACCAGCTGGGCATTTTAGCAATGTCAGGTCTTTCCCCCTTCAGAATTCTTAATATTATCTTTATGGCTAGTTAACAGCACAAAGGGATGTTAATGTGTATGACGCATGTCTATCCCAGCTGGGGTTAGACACCTTCCTACAAGTTTGATTCCCACTGGTACATTTAGAGTTGGCACACAGTTAGTACTAATACTAGAAAGAATCCCTTGGCAGCTAAAAATAGGAGAGTATTGAGCTGAGCTGTCATTAAAAGACCAGTCTGACATCTTGGTACCAGTCACATGCTAGGATGCCAGAAGTCATATACTCACAGGACTACACTGGCACACTGGATTTTCCATGAACAGGGCATAGAAAACGCGATGTGCAAGTATTTTAGGTCACCTGAAGTTGCTGAATTGGCATGTTTCATAGAGCAAACTATTTATATTGTATGTCAAAAGCCAGAAGTATTACTTTGAAAAATATAATCCATAAATAAAATTCAGTTGGAATTAATACAATACAATGACTAAGTATAGGGAGAACAAATAAACCAAAGTTAAAAAACGAGAAAAAATTGGCTGTTAATAGCCTCTTTTAAGATTAACACATGGGTCATTAAAAAAAACCCAAAACTACAGTAGCAATTATAATACATAATAAAATGCATGTAATATCTAAGCAAATAAAGCAGTCATTATGGTCGTTATAGAGTTTTTTCTAGTTAAGACACCAGCAATTACACAAACTATTTTATTGATGCATTAAATACTCTTTTCAAATTGTGAAATCCATATCTGCTGTAGAAGGTCTGTGAAAAGATCAGAGCTATTGTTATCACCTGAGGTCTCAAAAGACAGAGTTTTAGATAGAAAGGTAGACAAATGGCCCAAGCAAGCCCTTGAACACAGCTGTAAGACAGTCCTTGTCATAAATGAGACTGCAAGCTGAATAAGTAGGCACTACTGACTTCCTTTAGCAATGGCTTTTTATGTGAAAGATTAATCTAGCATCTGTTCTGAGATTCTCATGACTGACAATTCAGTAACAAGATCCCCTAGAGTTTAACAAAAAGATGGGGAATACATACAAACTGCAGGGTCACTAATTCAGGACTTCTGTATCTTATTGTTTCTACATTCCACATTCCCCCAGATATGTGCTTTCTATTACACTTACCTCCACTGCAACACTGCTGCTGTCTTCTGTCAAAAGAAGACTGAAGCCTTCCAATAGACTTCTGAAATAGGGATACTTCCAAAATTTAGTTCACTGTGCCAGTCAGCTACTCTTTCCTTTATGATTTGGCTCTGCCTACTCTCTTCCTACTGTTTACAGATACTCAGTACTGAAGATCAAGGCAGAAGCCAAGATGAAAAAAAGTCACTGTAAGCTTGATCACAGCAATAGCTTCCAAATCATGGCCTGGACTTGGATTCTCTTCCCTCCCAACTTTACAAGTATAGATATCAATTTCACTGGAGAAGTAATAAAGGCATAATTACAGTGATGACAAAAGGACCCAGTAGACATACTTTTTTTTTAAAAAATTTTTAAATCTCAGACATAGCTGACAGCAGAAAGAGAAGAAACGAAAGCTATATAAAAATGATGTTTCTACATCCATCATTCTGTCAAAAAACGTAAGCAATAATCAATGTTCAGGAAATATTCTAGGCAGCATTAATTTCAGTAATATAGATGCTTCAGAGCAACATCAAAGTTTTTGTCTCAATTACTTCTTAATACTGATGAAATATAAGCAATGTCCTTCTGCACCCCTGCCCTCCTTCAAGGTAGCTCCAAGTCATTCATCAAAAATTAAGACAGAAAGAAGAAAAAAAATGAGGCAGTAAAGCTCCATAGGGTGTGGTTATCAGTAAGTGAACACTCCCCTGGGCACTGAGTTCTAATCTTCTAACAGGGTGAATGTTTCACAAACAAGGACATAGGGTTGTTTTATGAATAATGTGTGCATGTATTTTTTATACAAGGAGAAAAGATGAAATTGGCAACTTGAAATGCTGAACAGTAGTTTCAATTGAGTAGTATGGTTCACAGATTAATCTTCTCTTCAGTATTCATGAGCTAATCAGAAAACTTTTCTGTTCTGAAACCTAAAAACAAAACAAGCAAACACCAAACCCCCAACTATAAAGCCCAACTATTTTTGTACATCTACCACATAGCATCAAATAAAATGGTGAAAAAAAATAGTGCCAGATACTGATAGCACATAAAATCTGCTTTAAAGCACTACTGATTTTGTTGTCAGTGTCTAAACATTTCTTTGGTGTTGTCCTTATTTTCTGAGCCAGGCAGAAGCTGAGACCAGAGAGAAAGAAAATAAAGTTTTTCAGAAGCTTTTTTTCCTTCTCTTGACATTGGACTGTCCATCTCATTAGACTTGCAAATGACTGAGGATCTATGCAGAAATATTTCAAAGGTGGTAGTACAGAACTCCTGAGAGAAGTACCTGGACACCTCATTTTCATGAGGAAGTCAGAAGGAGCAAGACAGATGTATTCTGCAGAAGGTGGTATTAGGACAGACGATGCATGAGGAGAAATGTAAGTGAGCTTATAAAGCAATCATGACAACTTGCCCATCTACATTCTTTCCATGAGAGCAGTCTGACCCTATCTCACTTCCACTGGAAAGGCTCCTAAATCTAATCTCTGGAGAGCAATCAAATTCATCCCACACAGCTTTGTCTTGATAACCACACTGAACAAGACAGCCCATGTTTCTAAAACTTGGACATACTCTTCAGGTGTTTTAATCTTATGAGGCCCTGCACTATGAACAGTTCAGTTACTCTTCTCCCAAACACCTTCATTCAGTTTGCTTTTTTTACCTCATCCATGATGTTTCTATATAACCAACCAGCTGTAGATTTCCATATTAAAAAAGAAAAAAAAATATTTATACAGTCTCTCTATATTTATGTATATAAACACTTTTAAACATGTATTTTATATATTTGTGTATCTATTCTACTCCCCCCACACACATTCCAAGCCCATTGTTTTGGGGATCTGCAGTCTGAACTGGAATACAGCCCTATACATCATCACATTAAGGATAAAACCTATTATTAACCAAAATTCACTCTCCAGATCAGAACATTAAGAATACATTCTAGTACATAATCTGTTTCCAATACATGACCAAATTAGTCAGTGCAGGTGATGGTATAGTTTACATTTTCCCCAGAGGGACCTGTCACAGGAGAGCAGAAAAGCTTACATGAAAGGCCTTTTTCTGCAGCTCCTTCCAGCTGACTTGTTTTATAAAGGACAATTAATCTATTCCTCATGGAGAAAGTGATTCACTTGTATTACACAGGGATCTTACTGCATATAAACAATATGGGCTCTAACTGACAACCTGTCAGAGATGCTAAACTTGCTGGGAGAGTGACAATAAGCTGCCATTTCAATTTCCCCTTCAGGGCAGTCTGTATTGCACACTTAGCAGTATGGAACACAAGCGAGTTACTGCCACAACAGCCCTAACACAAGTTGGTGATACCCATGAAAGTCTGAGCAACTGTTGCAGCTTGATTTGTTGGACATAAACACAGGTTTTGCCAAGACAGAAATGCGATCCTGATCATCAACAAAAGCAGCTCACTATTACTACAGCTATTATCACAAAGGGATAAAGAAGAAAAACTGCTCTGAATCTTAAACAGAAATTTTCTTAGAGACCAGTCCAGCTTCTGGTAACCTTGTTCCTATCTAATCAGAGCTACTGATAGTCAAAATTGGAGGAGCGGCAACACTGCCTTCTTAGAAGCTAATTTTGCAGCCACACAAAACTCCAAGCAGACAATGTCTGCCATATGCCATACATTCAGCATAAAAGTACATTTGGCATAATGGGGTAAGTATTCATGACTCATACTCAGCAGGTACAGCAAGATGATAAAGTGAAAAGATTATAAAACTAAAAGTATTAAGTATTTTTTTTTCCAGTACAGAGTTCTTATTAAAAAAAGGAATGAATAGTGTTTAAATTGACATCATGAGATGCCACAGAGCAAATAGATTACACTAAAAGTGTCAAAACACAAAGCTGTGGAAATAAATGATATTTTACAACCTGTGCAGTGGTTTCCAACTCTCCTTCTCACATCACTGCACCTGTATCATCTAGCATACTGTCATCATAATAATACAGAGAGAAGATAAACATTTCTTTTCCTGAAATGTGTACCTGAAGACTCAAACATGGTAAATCTCTCTCTAAATTTGCTGCTTACAGTCAGCAATATCCTGTGCTCAGATATACCCCTCCCCAACAGTGCTTCATTTACACTTTCAATGTGCATTTCCTCTCCATTTCACACCACTCTAACAGAGCCAGCCTCTATCTGTTACACAACAGAAGACGATGTTAACAATAGTCTTCAATCTCTGAACAGTAGCATGGCCCAACAGAATAACATCAACTACAATAACATTTTCTATTTACACAGAAAAGTAGCTTCTATTTATATACTACATTTCTCTCAGGAGTACTTCTAATTTCCCAAAATGACAAGTTTACATATCTTACAGAAATTGCTGCATCATTAGCTTGCCAAGAATTTAATTTCATCGGAGTATCCAAGGCTAAGGACATGTCAAAATGGGGAAGTTAAGTTAATCAACACATACAGCTTTCAAAGTGATACTCAGCAAGGAATTATGACCTGCATCACCACAGAAAGACTTCAATTGAGCATACAATTCCCTGTCAACCTAGCATGGAGGAACAAACAAACAAAACCAACACAAGAATGATTTCCTTAACAAATAATGTCAATCAAATCTATTTTCATATCATTATACTAGCAGCCATTATGACTATTCTATTTACCTAGATTAGAAGAAACTCAAACTTACTCCTTGCTTGTTAAGTCATACCTTGAATATCATGTTTGCTTGAAAACATAGTAACACTATTTCTTCTATTATCTTTTTAGTTACAGATAGCCTTTCAATTTATGAAAGTTAGCCAGGCAGCAACATGCAGTGGAGAGCACAAAAAGTCAAATCGTCTGACTGTGGTAAAAATTATTTTAAGCAACAGAAGAATTCTGGAAAGTCTCAGATAGGATAAAGAACTTTGTAAAGTAGAGGGTAAAAATAACAAAAGCAGCAAACCCTGTAATTGCCTAGCACACTCCTGGAAACATAACTATATGCTTATTTCCAAGCAGGCACACCAAGCAGAAACATACTCCTTATCTTCACAGGTGGCATTCATCTGCCTTTCTGTATTCATCCTTTCAGACTTCAATCACCTGTATGAGTCTCATTTCACTTTCCCATAGAATCATAGCAAATTAAAAAATGAAAACTAATAGCCTGGCAGAACCTGAAATAAAGGCCTTTCCTAAAAACACCCAAACAAACCACAACAAAACACCTGCAGGAAAGTCAGAGAGTAAGGAAGAAATTACTAGTCAGTCTGAATCATGAGCAGAAGGTGGTCTACTACAGAAAGTGGAAAATGTAAACACAAGGCCAGTTACCAATAGGGTGCTAGATATTATTTTCACTGAAGACAGTAAGCACTATGACCTTCTGCTTTAAGTGTATGTGGTTTCCCAGAAGCATGCAGAAAAGCCGAGTGGGAGAAGGCCCTGCACCATCAGGTTGTCTAATAAGATTAATGCTTCTTCAGAAAACGTGCCAAAGCAGTAGTGTGTTCTTGGCAATTTATACCTGCTTATGGTCATGAAGTACGCATCTAACTGAGAACTGATACACAGCCTGGAGACAACTTAGCGTTGGAGTTCCATTCTTCTGAATCAGGCATAATGCAAAATAAATCAGCATATACACTTGTGCACATACTCACATGCACATGCAGTAGAAAGGACTGTGCCAAGCACACTATCAAGTATCCAAAGTCCTTCCTTCAGCCACAGAACTTCAAGTTAACATATATATGTGCTGTGTTTTTTAATGCTTCAAAGATTAATGCTACAGCCAGTCTGACAGGAATAATAGCTTGGAAGTTTTCATCTGTTCTAATCCTGCCACAGAATGCCACCTTTCAAAGGGAAAAAAAAAATAATCCTGACATAATTACAGAGCCAGGACTTTGTTTTCTCTAAAACAAGTGCCACACAGCCTTCAGGGTAAAGACTGACTATGACCTATTAGGGAAAGAGTCATAAGAAATTCTGTGGGAAGCAATGGTTAGAATACAGGATAGCCCTCCAGTGTTTGAAAGTTGAAAAATTAACAAAGGAAATTATGACTAGAGTAACATTAGGACCTTACATGCCAATCAGCAAAGAAGAGCTCCAGCTTTAGGTTGTGACAGGTTTCTGTGCTGTTAAACTTCTGTGCTAAGAAGTACATGTATGCCACTGCCATTATCTTTCTCCCTTTGATATCTGAACTGTGATGCTTTGTAGACTTACTTTAAGTCAGCTGCTAATAAATTAAATCCATTGTAAAGATGTCCTTCTACTGAAACTTTCTTCAAATAAGAGTAGCTGTCCAGATCTGCAGTCAAGAAGTTTGTTACAAGAGCACCTAAGAAAGAGAAGTACATAGAGCAACTTGTATGTGTGAACCCACTATTCTGACAGACTTGGTACAACAAACAGTAAGGCACAAGATTCCTGTTGCCAACAGGGTATAACAGTGTGGGGGGAAAAAAACCCAAAACAAACCGAAATAACCAACCAGCTTCAAAGTCTTACCACATTGTATGATGTTTACATTAAGAGCTTGACTTTTACTCTCAACTCAGTTAAAAGCTCTTGGTCAAAATTTCTACAGAATCCATATTTACTAACTATTCTACACAGATGTGCCTTTCCTCTCCTCCCACCTTGCCAAACTCATTATTGTCTTGCTTCATAGCCCTGATATACGACCCTACAATGAAATACAAGTGACATGGTTCATTTGTTTCTTTGTTTAACGTGTTTTGCCACTGCAATATATTCTCAGTGCAATACCATATAACAGTTACAAACAGACCTACTTAAAAAAAAAAGAAACAAAAACCACACTACCACAGATGCGCTCTTTTGGAATAGCTTTTTTCCTATTATTTCTGCTCCTTTGATTTATCAATGTTTAAGGGAAAATGGACTACAGACGTCTTTTAGGCTAACCTCCAGCATAATCCCAGGTTGCATTGTTTCCCTAGGTGTTTGAACAAGAACATACACATTAAAAAAAGTATACTGTAATGTAAATCTAGCTCAGTGCTCATCTAGTTGTTCTGACTGTTAATTAGAATTACTTTCAAGACAAGACAGTTGGTGCTGCATTTCTTGTCTGGATGTAACTTCAGGCTCTAGGCATTACACCTTGTTTTACTTTTGCCTGCTTGATTAGAATATCATTATCCAAATTCCCCACACAAGTACTCAAACTCTTCAGTTCAGAAATTCTGTTTACAGCACACAACCATTTTATTTGTCCATAAAATGGTGTTTACAAAATTAATATTGTAATTATCACTATTTTACTGGGACACCAGGGCTTGTTTGTCCATTTTCTTATTTTTCAGTTTCTACTTCTTCATACCTCTTCCTTTTGCATTTTTATCAATCATTGGCTGCATATAGTTTGTCAGGGCTGCCATCTTGCCTTTCTTACTGATTCCCAGCCATGTGCCACCTTCTTTACCTTCCTCCATATCCAGACCTAATGGAAGAAGTAAGAGTTAGGCTATTGCATTCATTAAAAAAAAATAAAAAATCTCAAGCTTAAATCAGAATTTTTTAATGCAATTCCTGAGTTTTGGTCAGGCTGGATAAAATGCAGTAGGTACAAGACTAACTTTCTGGACAAATGAGGTAAGCCTACTTAAATTACCTGCCCTCCAATTCTGAACTTTCAAATAACTTCCATGCTACTGCAATAATAGACAAGAGATAATGAGAAAATGAAGTGTAAAAGCAAAATTATAAGCTTCATCTATATGCTAAAATACATACAAAACCTTAAGTAGGCTCAGAATATGTGTTAGCTCAATAGCAAATCTCAGAAGATTAATGTTATTTGCAAGTTTAAATTCACAAGCAACCATAAAAATTTAGAGTAAGCTAGATAACTGATAAATATCTTGGACCCTGGTAGCAGTAATTTACACTGAGGAGGGGGACCCACAGAAGTGAAGCCCACAACCAAACGTCTTGAAAGAAAGTACAAGTTAAAAAAAAAAAAAAAGAAAACCCTACCTATTTGCCATGAGCTCATGTTGACCAGCAAGCATTTAATGGAAAACCAAGAACTAGTTCAATATAACTTGCATACTGTTAGAAACCTTTTAATTCTGAATCATGATGTCATAAATAACTTCCATTAGAAGATTAAAAGAACAGATTTTGGATTTGTATTCAGAAACTCCTTTCTTTCTTCAGCATCCCAAACCTCAATATAAAGTTTAGCCACATCACGTCTTTACCCAACACTTTTACTACTGTCCTCTACCTTAACTGAAAAGCACACAAAAGAATATACAGCTTTGTTGACCAACACCCAGTGATTAACATACAGGAATTCTGGAAAAGAGAAATTGCTATAAGTGAAAAATATTTTTTCATCTTAAGTCACACAAAGAAAATTTGATTTATTATGGTTCAACCTGCTGCTTTCATTTGAGAAAATATTATTAACACAAAGGCATATATCCATGAGATCTCCACAGATATATCCCCTGGATGGAGAATATACCAGCTTCTTATGCCAAACACGGACAGAGCTGACAAGGATATAAAAGACAAAAATTCAGGGTCCTTCAGTTTTCAGGATAGCTTTTTTGCTCGTTTGTTTTAAACTGCTACATAGCAGAGGAAGCAGCATCCAGAATGTCTGGCACGAAACAGAAACATCAGCCAGAACTTCAGAAGCAAGGGAGTTGTAGCAAAGTGGGAGTAATTCATGCTCACAGGCCTTCTTGTCAATGACAATAACATACAGCATCAACAAAGAGCATTTGCAAAGTCAAAATCTTGCATTTAAACAATGTTTTGTTTTCCAGAGCTTCTCTCTGTTTCTGAGAAAATGCAGAAGTATTGATTATACTTAAAAATTACTACAGATAGATTACCTACAAAGGAAAACCAGATGAGGAACTCTATTATCAGTTTAGCAAAATGTAGACACGAAAGATAATAAACTGATGGATCAATAACTAAAATTATTCTGTAGCCTATAAATTATTAACCAATAAGAAATGAGAAAGTTTTCACTTTCTTGAGGCTTGGTTTAATGATTTCAAGTCACTATTACAGCCGATGAGTCTGTAGAATAACTAATTCCACCTATTTTAAGAATTATTTCAGTGTGTCTGACAAAGCTAAAGTAATTGTTCATGACAGACAAATTAATCTGCACTGCTCAGACTGAAATCAGTTAGAGAATGTAAAACTGGGAAAGGAAAAACCCACAAGATATTAAAACACAAATAAGATAATAATAGCACAACTCACCTTTCCAATTCCTGACATGTTTTCTCCCGAAGTATAGGGGAGAAGCATATTTCTGATTAGAAATGCAGCACCACCACCCCAGTAACAAAAAATCCAGGCTATAATTCCTTTATAAATCATATGAAAGTCACTCAAAACCGCAAGACATACATACCACTAAGGATCTCATTGCCGCTGTCCCAAAAATCCGCTGATTTGGATGGTCTGTGGTAAAATTCATCTCTATTAGCTGCTAGAATAAGCCTGTAGAACACAAGAGGAAAAAGATACCATTACTCACAAATAGGAACTACAGGCAGGAGCAGAATCCAATCCTTGCCACAGCATTAGCTCATTTTAAGTATGAAACCATCCTTTATCCTCCAATCTCACCTTTATCACTCAGTGTAAAGGCCGAATGACATCTGACAGCAGCCTTCTCTCTCATTGTCTTGAGACATTCAGCAAATCTATCTTGTGTGAATGAGGCAGCTATTATTTTCAAAGAATAATATATCACAATGATTGAATTATGATCGCATAAGCAGTCTTAAGATTCCTCAGCATATGAGGTCGCAGCTTAATTAAAGAAAATTTAAAGGTAACCCGTGGATTTATAGGTAACATCTAAAAAAAATAAATAATCTGAGAGCATGTTTTTTACTGGATCATTACTTAGGATCATGTAGTCACAGTATTTTTCAATCTAACTTCAACACCTGAAGTTCTATTTATGTGGTTCAAAGACAGAAGCCAGATCCTTTTATAAGTACTCAGAGCACAGATAAATCTGTGATAGTCTCAAAGGTCCAGACAACATGCTCAATGAGGCAGGGAAGTACAGGGAAGAGGCATGTAACAATCAAGAGGTATTTTGGTAGCCCTCTGTTTTTTGTTGTTTTATGGGTTGTGGTTTTTGTTTTTGTTTTTGTTTTTTTTAAACATGTGTAGTTGCTTGCATAATCTGAGTGTTACCAGAACAGTAGGACAAAATAGTTGAATTGTTAATGAGTCAGCCCTTGCAGCAAAGAAACTACAAGCAGCTCTGAAGGCTACACAATCAGGAGGTAGGAAGAAGTTATGAAAAATAATACACAATTGAAAAATGCTGCTGGATGAAATCCATTGTTTATATTTAGAAATGAACACATCACTGTACAAGACCAACTACCATCCTGACCAAAAGCGTGTGGCAGTTCTTCATGTGCCATCTAAAATTTGGTAATTTTAGAAAACATGCGCTTTATACTTTGATAATTATCTCTGTGATAATTATCATACATGGTACCTGCAGACTTGAAAGACCAAGTACAACGTGAATTTTAAGAAGCAGCGGCCATACAGGATAAGACAGGTTTTCCTCAAATGTTCCAGGCTTGGCAGCAATGCAGATCAGTCAAATTCAATGATAACACCAGTTCAAGCCAGTCAGGCCGTGAACGTAAAGCAGGTAAGATTTAAAGAGTCAGTACAGGCAGACAGCTTCAGAGGAGTTTAGAACAGTCTCAGTTCTTGGCCTTTGAAAAGCAAAAACTGTTTCTCTGTCCATTTTATCCATCAGAAGTTATTAACACAGAACAACTTACAAATCATGCAAATATCTTCCTGAACGCATGCTACAGTAATTTTGTTAGCAGTGTTAGTACCGGCACACTAGAGAGGAAAGTCTAGGCTAAGCTGACTGCGCACATCCATCTTCTGAAAGTGAGAAAGTTAACATTTTCTGATATTCAAAAGCAATTGAAAACAGCATCCGAAACGAAATTTAATTACTTACTGCAACATCAAATAGGTGCAGGATATCTATAAATAAAAGCTTGTGTTAGAAGTGTTACTGGGCTTCTGTGCTGAGAATCAGCAGACGCTGCCATTTTCAAACCTGTAGATGAGCTTTCATTTGATGCTGCTTTTCAGTCTTTTTTCAATCATTACTTTGGAATTTATTTTCTTTTTTTAAAAAAGTGTTTCTTATTGGTAGACCATCCTCACCTGAACAGCAGGTGATGGATTTGGCTGATCCAAGGAAAAGGCAAAAAGACAACTGTAACTCTAGGCAAGCCATATGCTGGAGACTCAGGGCAACTGATGACTGCAGACACACTTGTGCACAACTCCACCACACCATGCCATGATCCAAAACAGCTAGAGCTTCTGAAGTCCTGCTCATTATTACCCATAACATGACTTGCCTTTATTTCAATTGCAAGATTGTGAGCGTTCCCCATTCTCTCCAGTTACGTTGCTTAATATTTACTTTTAATGAAATGCCATCTTTCAGAAACCTGCAGATTTTCTTAACCTGTTTCCTAGGACCTCAGTGTCTTTTCCACTGTCAGTTCCTCCTACCAGCCACATGTCAATTATATTCATACAGCAGAAGCCAAGTTTGCTACTGTAAACTGAGGTTAGACCATACAATTTTCATTCTAATTTTTAAAGCCACAATACATAAGAATCAATTCCAATGAAATCTCATTACTTTACTCAGCACTGAAATGTACTGACATTTTCTGCAGGTTTCTGGACTTCCCTGCAAATTCATCTCTTAATTATTACAATGTTTTAAAACATGATCATGAAGTGCCAGTTGCACATTAGAAATATTACAGAATTATAATCAGCTATAGAGAAAATGAAAGAGACTAACACTTCAATAGCATCTGTTGGAAAGCAGAGTGTACGTACATTTTCATCTTTCCAATGCCAAACAATCATAATATCGTGCCTTTCAAACTTGTGTTATTTTTCGTCTTCTAGCTGATTCTAGTCTTTGACCTATAGGCTTCCAGCTGGTTTACCAAATTTCATTTCTCTTGCTTGAATATCCTTCATTTATAGCATGCATCTTCCTTTTACAGATTTTTATTTAAATAAACCTCTCTACTGTTAAAAAAAGTTTAGTTCAAGTGCATTTCTTATTTCCTGAAGCTCCAATTATATTTTATCTTCAATAACTTTTGACATGAAACTACAGTTTGTTTATAGTATCTAAATATTTTGCTTATTTTTATAAGCAAAGGCTTTCTGGTGTGATTAAATATTTCCCATCTCAAGTTTAATACACAGACTCCTAAACTTAGCACAAGGCTAGTATACAGGATCATTATAATAAAAACATCTTCATCTTGTCTTTTATGAAACATAATCATACTGAAAATGAGCAATATTAAGTGACCCTCATCTTCTAATAGATTGCAAAAAGCCTATTCAGCTATTTTTATGGCTGAAATAATTCAACTGTATTAGGATTTACATATTAAGATTTATTTTAATGTTGAGGCAGAGAGATGAAAACATGAGAAATCATTCCATTAAAGCAATTTCCTACAATGTAATTCAGTTCCATAAAAAAAGACTCTGTGATTATAGCTTTGAAGCTTGAAACATGTATTTATTTGTAAAATGCACAGAGTATAGTTCAGAAAGCTGTAAAGCCAGCATGTTACCTTTGACAATAATAATGGACTACAGTAAAGCATTTGCTACACGGCACTAAACTTAACTACAAATAGGCCTGTAGAGAGAACACAGAGGAAAAAGGGTAGAACAGCAAGTTGCAAGGGTATGGGAATATAGATTCATTAATGGATCACTAAGGTGAACTGTAAGCTTTTTACTTAATTAGGTGCTTATGAAAATTGGCCAATGTACTGCTCTAGAAACCAAAGGCTACCTGGATGGAAAAATTTCTTAAGTGTTATGAAGAACATGTTTTAACTTGAGAAAGTTTACTGGATACAAGAAAATGGCCAATGATAGGCAGTTTGTCTTTTCAAACTTTACTACCCATTTTATACGCTTTTAGTTAGAGATGCAAAGTAGAAGATAGTGAGAAAAGTAATTGTAGATGCCTGTTTTAATGTGGACAGACAAATTACTATGTCTGCAGGTACAGGAATCCTCTTTTGGTTAGGAAAACTGCTCCAAGAACTCACCATACAGAGCCATAATACCGAGTAACACACAGGAGTTGTCAGAGAAATTATGTTTAGCAAGAGACTACTATAGAGAGGTCTAACTTGGTCTAATGGCTATAATACTGTTCAGAGAATTAGGAAGTCTGGGTACCATTCCCAACTGATAGTCAGACCTGTATCCTTCAGAAAGTTGATACAAAGGTAAAACAAAACCCTTAGGAACAATTTAAGAAGAACGAACTTCAACATTCTTCTGAATAAAGAAAAGCAAAGAGATTTAGTTATGGTGTGTTAAAGGAAAAAAAAGAAAGGGGGGACTAAAGTTATGTATCTGATATTAAAAATCTGACACCAAGAACACTATGGTCTGGCACTTATCACTGTAACAGATGGTTCAAAGTAATTTCTCTCAGAGGCATAGAGCAAGACATCACTTAATGAAAGGTACCAAGAAAGTTAAATAGAATTAAATATTCCTGAATTTGGGCCAAAACATCTCAAAAGTGTTTTCCTATTTTGACACTGATAGGAAGTTGTTTTCTGCTATAAATCAATAATTTCAGTCTCGATGAAATTTTTTGTAGCAAGCAAACTACTGTAAGTATTACTTTAAAATATTGATCATGGCAGAAAGTTCGCTCGGCAAGCAACTACAGTTTACATCCAAAGGATTTTCCCAAGAGGCATCAAATTGATGAATCTGTCTTTTGCTAACTAGCAACACAAAGAAAGTCAGACCAAATAAATGGATATATTAATTCAGCACCAGTCACATCAAACAAATCCCTTTTTAGACAGATTCCAGATGCAGAAAGGAATTCACTGTGTGGGCAACTGAAGTTTCAGTTCTAACTTCCTTTCTTTCTATAGAATGGCATCTTCTCAGTATGAAGGGCAGAAAAACAAGTCAACAAAAGGCACAATGATTTACTAAGCATACTAACTCTGATGGTTTCTGGATGAATACCAATACTTGCACCCCACAAAGCATACGGAATATATACAGTAAGTATAAATACAGAAAGCACTACAACTCTACAGTAGTAGCTGAAGTGCTATCTTTCTATTACATACTGAATATCCTCAAAGATATTAATGTTGTATATGACCTTTTAAAATGGCTGTAACAAGAGAGAAAATTATTAAAGGAAGTTTAATGTTTGGGAAACTCACTGTATGACATCAAACACATCCAGCAATACTTACCTCGAAGCGTGGATGCTTATTTTGTCTTAAGCTTTTAACTAAACATTTAATACAGATGACTATTAGTCTATTAGCTAAAATTTTAATAATTTTAAAATTTAATTAATTTTAATTACATAAGATTTTAACATGACTTAGCTTATTACCTAAAATTTTAATTGAAAGCAGATTTTGGGGAGGGGGAAGGCTAGGACACAAAGTTTCTTAGTCTCCATAAAACTACTTGTTTTACATGGATACAGGAGTATAATCAGTTTGAAAGCAGTGAGATCTGATTTCCAGCATTTTCTGAAATTCTAAGTACTTAATTTTAGGACAAAGAGCAACTGGAAGTCTTTAAGTACACCTTGTTCCAAAAGCAAACTGATAGGTATAACTAACTGTGAAGATACCTTGACCTCATCTATCCATATTTTAAAAAGCAACCACGCCTACTCACAGGCAAGCCAGTTCTGTCAAAAACCCAGTGGAACAGAGCGCACTGGTAGCCATGATGTAACATGGAAAAGAGCGAACCACACAGTGAACAAGAAGGTCCAGTCCTTGGGAGGTAACAGGACAAAGTGGCAATTCAGAGTTAACCAGAAGCTGCATAAGAAGTTAAATTTCAGTATTAGTACCTTTTGGATTCATAGTGTATGGCTCTCTTGGCTTACAAGACTGGACTAGCACATATTAACAGAGGAGAAATTAATACACAGAGTGGTTAATAACTGCAACAGTTCTGCTCTACTGTCTGCCCATTACTTTCCAGGCTAAATTCAAATTGTTGGTTTCAAACTGAAAGTCCTAAACATATCCACCCTACTGAAAGAAGGGTACAGCCACAGCTGTGATGCCCCAACAAACACAATTCCCCCTAGTTTAAATGATAAAGTAGAAGGCAGGACTTTCAAACTCTGGATTAAAATATTTAAAGGATTTATCCTACACCATATGACAGATCACCAGCAAAAGGTCCATGATCACAAAGCCTGTCTTCTGAAATAGTTTAAAACCAAAGGATTCTCAAGAGGTTACAGTAAGTCCTCAATGGGGGAAGTCATAAAGTTAAACATTACAAAAAGCATAATTGAACACATAATACTGACTTGAATTTGTAATTCAAACATTGGCTACAAAAAAAAATTGTATTAAAAAAATATAGAAACAAGTCTGAACTAGAACCATCTTTACCTGTATGCATTTTTTGAAACTGGTCGGGGGTCAAATTTGAATAGAAGAATGCACATTGAAGAACTGATGTTTAAATCCTGCTTCTTCCACAAAGGCTCAGTGCAAGGTCATTCTGTAACAGCCTACAAAGTAAATAAAAAGTAGCTATTATTCTGAAAATTATAAAAAGATAATCTTGCTTCTATGCTGAAGCTTCAAGACTGTAGTGTTCTCAAAAATAAATAAAACAGGACTTTCAAACCAGATTTCTTTCAATGAATGGTTTACTACCAAAATTCTTACGGCAGTTGTTTCAAAGTTTTGCTTAGCTAACTCAGATTTTTAGGAAAGAAACAAGCATCAGGAAAATACTGACAAAGTCTAGAGTGCTAGCAATACCTGAAAGAAAGACTATTACATAATTTTATGCTCATTTCCAATAAAGCACCACTACTTTTTTTTTTTTTTTTTTCTCTCCTGTCTTAAGCAAGGCAAAATGCTTCTGCTAGAGTAAAAGGAGAAAAATAAGACTCAAACTGTTGCAGAAGCTGGAAAAAGCCTGATCAAAGACACTCCCAAACCCGTAAATAAAGTATACTTAAAATCTTTTAAGTATAAAGTCATTTAAGCCCAGGAGAAAGTATTATTGTTTACCATCAGGAAAAACATCAGGTACAAAAAAAATTACACTAGACCAGCGTGTACATTCTGATAAATAGCTTCCAGCACTTGGGGTATGTTTAAAATTCTGTCCATGCTCAAACGGCAGGACAAATATACCTTCTATTTCAAAACCACATAACAGTTTTCAGATATTTTTGTGTTGCCACAATGAAAATTTTTCTGGTAATAAAACTGAAGCCTGATCCTTACTTTTTGTGGCTGCTAAAACGTTTATCAGAATGCTACCAACCAACCACACATCACCAGGTTTTACTGTTATTGAGAGCTTTTTCCATGCAAGAGTTTAAGGTAGGCAAAGAGGGGAAGGGGACAGGCAGTACTCAACACCACAACCCTAAGGCCTCCTGAGCAACCCAGTGACTGAAGCAACTTCTGTACAAAAACTATGATTTTTAACCATGCCTCCAGATAGATAAAAAGTGTCTCTCTTGCTCTTTAATTTCCACATCATTTACCTTAAGAAATATCAGGAAATGAATGATCTTGACTACATTTCATATTTACATAAGTAGAGCTACAAGTGCAGCGTTTATACAGATTTTTTTAATTAACAGCTTGCCAGTAGCTGCTGGCTCCTGTTAAGTCACAGTTCAGCACTAAAACTAGCCTGCTGTTGCTGTCATGGCACAAGTTCAGTCTTGCAATCTAATATTCTGCAAAGAGACTCTCTGTTGCAGGAAATGAAATAACTCAAAAAGACGTGCAACTCTCCTGACATGCCTGACAAGGCACAAGAAAATTAGTGCAAAGTAGTGTGTATATCTTCCAAAGTATTTTAAATTCTATTCTCTGACAAAAGGAATTTCTCTCCCAAGATGACTTTGTAGTCCACTAGCCAAGAGCACCAATAGCCTGGCTATCCCAACTATTTTCTGTTTAAGGCATCAGAGGACACAGAATTAAATCATACCATAGGCTTTCTTTGCCTTTAACAAGTCAATCCCAAAATAACTAGTTTAGAAACAAACCATAAATTGAAGATGTAGACTTGAATTTTGGATAACTGATTTACTAGCCAGGTGTTTAAAAAGATCCATAGCCAGCTTTATTTAGAAAATCTAATCAGTTTTAAGGTGTCACCATCCTTCTCAGACTCCCATTGCTGAATTTTGAATAGACTTCAATCATACTGGACTTGTACAACTGAACTACAAGTTCTGAAAGACTTGGATCTTCTACATACAGATCTTACTAGCTTTTCACAAAACTTGGGATCTTGTACTCCAGCTGCTTTATGTCACTAAGCGTAAGTAACACTGACCTGTTCACACCTTCCACTCTAACGCTTAGAAATAAACTGAAGCAAAACAAAGTTATAGTCATGGTTCATATCACAAAGTACAAATTTCTTAGAGCAACAGACAGCTTTTGAAATACAGTGCCATTTCCAGACAGTGAAATTAAAACATAACACAGTTCTAGGTATTTTGAAGCCTTTTATACTATTTTTTTCCTTTAAATTTCTGCTGCTGTCCAGATACCCAGGTACCCATATAGATAGCCAGTATCAATATGCCATGCCCTACTTCAGTTTCTTTATTCAGGATACCATTTCTTCTAGCAGAAGGGATTTAAATTGCAGATCATCCTATTCATGATTTCTCCTCTGGAACATTGCATTGCTCCTTATTCTGTACCATCTACCTTTCTTTTAACCTTGACTTGTCAGAGTCCAGAACCTTCTTGTCTTTCTTTATGTCCTTCTCTAACCTCCAAACCTACTCAGCTTCTAGATACTTGCTTTGTCATTAGACATTTATTTTTCTGTTTGGCAATTTTTCTGTCCCCAGAAGAACATGAATGATGGGTTTCTTCATGACTCAGGTTCTTCAGCATGCTTATTATGCAGCCAAAATAGTCATGAAGATTATTCACTTCATTCTACAGCACTTTCCAAACAGGTGCCTACCATACACTTGTCAATCCACCCAGCCTAGTGAATGAATGAACTACAGATTGGGTACCTGGGGTGTTGTCAAGTCTGGCAGATGTTCCCCATTAGAAGACTGGGCTCCCCAATAATCCTCTCAGGGATGCACAGTCCTATATAACACCAGCCTCCAACAAGGCTGAGTAAAATAACAGTCACTCCTGTTTCCCAAATGATGCACACCTCACGGTAGTTATTGTTTCTGTCAGCGCACAGGTTACACAGAAATCAAACAGATTCTTCCTCCCCCCC